TTTTTTCTTTTGCCACGTGTGCATATTGCGTTTCCTTTCCTCTTTTCATTTCTGAATTTAACATGAAACCCGCTTCGAATTTCGACGATCGTTACGGAGTAATTGTGGCGGCGTGATCGACGAGTGAGAAATTGAATTTACGCTCTGCACCGGCCGTAAATTTTTCCCAAATAAATAAATAAACGAATAAACGCGCACGTTCGATACGTATAGCTGTTAGAGAATGAGAAAACATTGATCAGTCTCAAGCGATCGTACGAGCCGCACGTTAATCGAAAACGCACACGCTAATCGTCGACGACGCTCAAAATGCAAAGTGAAGTTTCGAAAGAAACGGGCGGTTCCGCGAACGCACGATTTCCATACGCCACCTTTGACTCGTGGCAACGGCATAAATTGGCGGCCGACGCAAGCCAGCCATATATCAAAAATTACACCATCGTGTACGAGTACGTACATACATACATACATACATACATACATACATACATATATATATGTACGCGCGCGTGAAAACGCTCTGCATGAAACCGCACTCCACACCACTTAACTTATAACCCATTCGAGCAGGACGCTCCATTTGCCAGCGTTTCTTCCAGCCGGCAGTCGGCATTGATTTTTGATAAGTCAATCGTTTCGTTCGCCCACTCCCTCGGGGCAAAGGCCGTGCCATTTCTCACAATGGAATATTTTTATTCCTCTGCTGCACGATCTCCCAGGAGCAATATCGTCCCGATGGAGTAACTCACGGCTACGAAGAGGGAAACGCTAATTGAAGAGAATCGTTGCAGAAAGTGCCAAACGTTAGATCATTCCAATCTGGAATCGATAGATTTCTATAATTTCGCAATACTTGGTAATAAATATATATATATATATAATGATAAGAATATATTATCATTTAAATAATGATATATATATAATGATATGATAATATATAATATATAATTATTATCATCAATATATAATTATCATTTAAATAATGATATATATGATATATAATAATATATATCATTTAAATAATGATATATATAATATATTAATAATTATATACATACATATATATAATGATAAGAATATATTATCATTTAAATAATGACATGTATAATATATTAATAATTATATATATATATATATATAATGATAAGAATATATTATCCATAAGTAAAGTAGGTTTTTTCTTCAAATTTAATAATTGCCATCTAGTGGCAATGATTAAAAAAAAAGTAATTCAAATAAAATAAAGTTTTGTACAGTACCAGAAAACATTACTGTACCTAATATCTACCTGGTGAGTTTTGTCACTCACCTTCACTTTTGTTCATTGAACATATTGACCACCTCGATGGTAAGTTGAAGAACAGTATACTATGATTCCCATTAATATTCGGTCATTCAAGTGTTGAAATTGTTATAATTTTGTAAACCGAATAATCGAGTTGATATAATAGTAGTTTTAACCTATAATATAATTTAAAAATAAGCACGCTAAATGTGCTCGATATATTTAACCAGAATATGTTATTTTATGTCACTAGATGGTAATGTTCGTTAAGTTTGAAGAAAACATTTACTTATGGATACCTCTAGTACATACATGGACAAACAACCACTTCAAAAGAAAAAAAAAAAAAAAAAACGGAGTCACGATTCTTTTTTCAAGAGGAAAAGCCAATCGTGGCTACATTTTATCAACCAGTTCGTAACAAATTTGTCACGATTTTTCCTCTCGTGCTCTCTCTCTCTCTCTCTATCTCTCTCTCTCTCTCTCTTTCATTCTCTCTATCTCTCTACCGATTCCCTAGTTGCACGTTGTATAACGACATGCTGGCGCTACAAGTTTCGGGGGGTGAACAGGGGGTATCGTGGCAGATTTAGGAACGACGTCGAACGAATGCGAATCTCAAGAGAATAAAGCTCTACACAGCCGTCCATACCCTTTCACGACCCTCGATTCTGGTTTGTTTCAATAAACCGTACCTTTCTTCCGTTAAGAGTTACCCCCTCGCCTTTGTGCTCCCGGCTACATAGACGCCTTCTCCCTTGGCAGCATTTCCAATCTTCCTCGCGACATTTATGCCTCTCCAAAACGAATAGTTGGGGCGTCGTGTAAACACATGCTTGATTTCCTAAAAAGAAAAAAAAAAAAGGAGAAAGAAAAAAAAAAAAGAAAAATGGAGGAGGAAGAAGAGGAGAAAACAGGAGAGAGAGATGAGAGAAGGGAGTCTTCTGCCTCGTTCGCGATATTACAAAACCGTTCGCCGGAAGATTTACTTTGGCCGATGCCACGACGGAGGGAGGAGACCTCTTGCCTTTTCGAGTTTCATTCCGGAGAAAGCGCTTGTCTCTTCGATAGACGACAGATATTCCGCGAATATCTCGCGCATCTCGCGTTTACTTCTTCCCTCGCCGAATAATAAATTGAATGTTAAACGTAAAACTGTATTGTGTGTTTTATTGAGGATTTCGCAAGCGCGTGAAATCGTTTCTCCGTTTGAAACCTCGAGCTTACCAGATTCAATATGATCCGCGTTCAATATGATCGTTTTATGTTTGTTACATTACAGCGTTAATTATCATTGTACTATGTTAATTTGTTATAAAACGAACCACGGATGAGCAAAGACGAATGCGTCTTTACAAAACTTGACAGATTTTGCAGTTAATGTAAAATTTAGATTACTAACTACGAACACGCGAAATGACTCACGATAATTGTAGCAATTGTGAAATCATTCGCAAGGGAATGTGTCGAATTTTGAAATTTGCCATTTCATCTGCAATCATCTTACGTATGCTTCGACAATCTCTATGAGTGATAAAATTCATGCAGCAGTGCGTGATTTGACAAATATACCATAATAAGTCAATTTTGAATTATATAGTACTCGTCTCAGGAAAGAAAAAAATTTATTCCGAGGAAGTATGTGTAAAAATGAGAAGTACAAATTTATCTCCGTCTAAAATACATAAATAAAATAACACATAAAAGAAAAAAGTATACTAATAGGATATGTACAATTATTTTAATTAAAACATCTCATTTAACAGTCGCATACAAAAAAAAAAAAAAAAAATTCACAATCTTTAACCATTAATAAACATCTCCCTCAATTTCGTAAAATCTTACAGAACTATAATATTTACACGTACGAGATATATTTTACGAAGATATGAATTTTTAAGAACCATTCATCCAGCAATCAATTATAACACAAATTCGAAATTAAACCTGCACCACACCTCCGTGTAAATGTGATAGAACAACGAAAAATGCGCTCCTTTTTTCCCCCCCCAAGTCGTATCGATTCTCATTTATAATGGAATTGCGATCCATACTGCCGGCTGCCCAGTTTCAACAAACGCGCGAGCGTCAGGGAAGCTCGACGAAGAATAGCAGAAATCTTAATCTTTCGTAGATCCTCGTCAAGTGAAAGAGAAAAGGGGAAGATGAAGAAAAAAGAAAGAAAGAAAGAATACGAGGGGAACGGGTGAGGAGAAGAGAAGAGGAAACCTACTTTTTTTTTTTCTCTCTCTCTCCCGCTGGCCGATCTCTCTGGAGGACTCATATAAAGGAGGATGAATCGTTTGCGGAGTCCCATTTTTCCTAGCTGACTCGGATTAAAAATCTATTATTTATGCACCCCCTCCTATATTATCTGGCCGACGTTTTCGCCTTCGGTCGAATTCCTTCCTAAATTGTTGAAAGGAGTAAAGGCCCTGTATATTTGCAGTGGCCTCGTGCTCGCGTTGGCGTGCCTCCGCGACATAAAAAACGAAGCGCGGCTTCTTAAATCACGTTATAGTCGGAAGCTCGCCGGCGCATCCGGCCGAAAGAAGTTCACGCTTTCATCAATGTTAACACTTCAGAGCCAAAGGGAACGGTTCTCGGCCATTGCTCGAGAGACACGAACGTTTAACGAGAAGCTAGCATGAAGCGTTCGAATAGAATTAGGAAACGGACACTGTTCAACAGCGTGGAGGAAGCTAGAAGGAAGTTACTTCGTTTATTTTCCTCAACGTGTCGTTTACACAATTAGCATAGGCAATTTGCATAGGCGATTCGTCCTTTCGCGTATACGCGTGAAAAAATTACAATTGGACGCTTGAAATTGATCTTTATCTGTGACGAGGATTTTCAAAATCTTCCAATCTTTCCGACTCCCTTGCCTTCCAAGTCTTCTAATTTCTAATTTCTGTCTTTTCTATTTTAATTTTTCTACCAAACCCTCTGTTTCTCCAGACTTGTTGATGTGATCTTTCAATTCTTTGAGTTTTCTACTTTTTGATCTTTCTAAGGTTCTTTGGTTCTTTCTAATTTTCTAACTCCAAAGCGCTTCCAATTTTAGCACGTTTTGTACGTTTTGTTATCAGGAGCGCGCTTCCTTTCAAAATTTTCATCAATATTTTATTCTTACTCCGTTCCTGAAATTAATAATTAGTAAGTACAGCTAGATTGATCAACGCCGAATGGGCCATTAATAATTAATAAACATTAGACGTACCGTAATATCTAAAGCATCGCTAGTAAAATATACAACAGTATAAACAGTATCAAACCAGAAAGAACCACGAAGAAAATAATCCATTTTCTTCAAAATTGAGGAAGAACACGTCTTTCGTAAAGGACAAAATCTTCACGATATTATCCCCCAGGAAATGCAAATAATAATTACCCGTACGAATTGAATAACGATTGATCTCCAGCGTTTGATCTCCGTGACTGATCTCAGTGTCGGAGGTGAGACGTTTCCAAAGCCTCTTTCGACTCTCTTCGAGGCGTTCTTGGTCACCGAACTCCGGCTACCAGCTATTGGCCTTTACCAATGCCTGTATCACCGTGGCCGAGAGTTTGTTAGCCCCCGGAGTTATCAACTCCGTGGAGCACGGTCGAGAAACTTGACGAACCTTGCACACAGCTTTGCCACCGCTTAGACGTAGGTTGAAGTGTAAATCAGCCTCGAAGGAGCGACGCTTTTCATCCCCCTTCCGTCGCATCATGCTCGATCACCCCGATCTCGACTCACACCCCCAACTGTTTCGACCATGTCGAAACAACCTGACGAGATCTCCCTCCATCGGTAACCCTTCGACGAGGCATGATAGCTCTCGAGTAACCAGTTCTATCTTCCACCAGCGGGGCGATCGGGACGGGAGCACAATAAAGGAGAAGAAGGAGAATAATGGGTCGACAGAGAGGCAGAGAGAGAGAGAGAGAGAGAGAGAGAAGAAATAAAAAGAACGGGAGGATGGAACTAGCCACGCTCACCCCCGACACCAGTCGGGGTGGCCCTCCGCGGTCCGAATGAGTTCCGCTCTTCTTCCTTCCGGTCGACAAATTGAAATCGTCAGACCGGGAAAACTCCACCGAAATCCACCGGCTCGTGAAGGAAGACGCCAGGCGGCAAGAGTGGAAGAAGAATCGGCCGGACGAGCGTGGAATACGGGAAGAAGACACACGAACGGCAAACACTCGAGTTGTGGGAGGGAGAAGGTACGAGCCGGACAACAGAGACAAAAGGGAACGAGAAAAGGGTAAGAGAGATGGAGATGGATAAATTCCGGTGATCGTGACGGAGACAAGCAGAAAGACCGAGAGAACGTGGGCAAGGCTGTGAGGGTGTAAAACAGAGAGAGAGAGACAGAGAGAGAGAGAGAGAGTACCTGGTCCCAACGTGCTCGTAACCGGCGACGTTGCTTTACCCGACGATATTTCACCTAGTAATTATCTTAGCGTGCTACGCGATAGTGCGAGGCGGCTGCCAGTATTAATGCCCGCTGATAATGTACCAATACTGTCCTCTGTCTCTCTACGAGAGAGAGAGGGAGAGGCAGCTGAGTAATAGACAGTTCAAATGCACTGTGCCGATCGTCCATTCCTAAGATATCCGACAGAGTGGATTACGACGTTGCAGCATTCACGTCTGTGGTCACTCCGGCACGTCGATTGACGACGCGAAATATGCTCCTTAGATCTTCGATCGGTTTTCTTGCCAATTAATCGGCAACCCGTAATTAGCCGGCCGTTTACCACCGTCCGTTTGATCAACAGATTAATTAACAGCATCGTCTGCGCCGCGTTGCATTTGGCGTTGCTCGACGTTTGTTCGTTTGGAACGCGAGGATCTGTTTCAGTTAGAAAGTTGCGAACGAATCGAACCTGATCGACAGAGCGTTTCCACGAAGAGGCTTGAATTTCGCGAATTTCATTTTTAATAAATTGGTCCTTCGGCGACAAAATTGTTACACGACGAACTGATTTGTCCTCTTTAATGAATCGTTAGAAAAAACTTGTGTGGCGTTTTTCAACATGCAATTTTGTGTATATGGTTAATCCCAAATGTAGCAAGTGCTGTTTTTAATTATCAGAGATTTAATTAATATCGTCGCTTCCTTTGGCTTGTCTGTGACAAGAAGCATTTTGATTAATTAAATTACAGATAAATCGGATTGCAGTGATGCTTATAATTATCGAGTTGATTTTTGAAAATCAAAATTGTTACCAAACCTTGTTACCTGACGAACTTATTTATTGTTCAAAAAAGTTTTCTAAATTGTTGCGACTTTTAATAGATAATTCAGTATAATACGGTACGGATTTCTAATTATTTTGTATATTATATTTTTGTGCAACATATTAAGTAGAAGCATAAATTAATCAAATGTGTAAACTGTATTGTAAGTAGAACAATAATAAAATATTTTATACACGTATGTCCAAAACATAAATTTTATACATTAATTTATGCACTTTGGTACAATTTTTACACTGTGACTGCAAATCGACAACAACAGTTACGAGCAATGTTACATCCACAGCTTCCCTGCGTAGAATATTATCAAAGTATCCGCAGAAGAAAAATGATTAAATAAGAATTGAAATTGCAATAACTGCGATGAAATACAGTTTCCACTTTACAGCCAGTTGAAATAGGTTTGCTAAATTAATGCGGTTTCCCCGAACATTCTTCGTAACAAAAACTTTTGTTTCACCTTTGTCCGTGCAATGCAGTTTTAGCCAATCGCAATTTTTCAAGTTACGGAACGTCCGATTTTTTCGCCCTCGTTCCCTCGCATTTTTCGCAAAGCGAGACTCGCCACATTTATTAATCACAAAGCGAGTAATTGCATTTCCTCTGAAAAAGGAAAGAAGGAATTCGCGTTTGCTTGAAATTTTTGCAAGCGACAATGACTCGTGACGCGTGTGAAACTTCGCCTTTATTGCAAAATTCGATACTTTGATACTCGTAGAGTAGATATGTAGCTCCAACACGACTGAAAAGTAATAAAATTCGCAAAAATATTAGAGCGTCGTAAAAGTCACGCGAGAGGGCTACGATTCTCTTGTTACGTATCGAATAAACTGGGAATGTGTGTCAATAATAACCTGTTGTTTCATCTGGCGAAAACGTTGGAATTTGAAATTGCATTGATATCAGTATCGTTGCTTTAATCACGCTACTGTACTTTAATCACCTTTGTACTTCTTGAAATATACTTTGAATTACATTTCTGACACATTAAATAAATATAACACATACAAGACTACTTGCATTAAAGTTTTGCATTTATGACAAGTTTAAAAGTCTTGGTATTCCTATATGTATACATATGTATATATTTATATTTCCAAATATTTGTAATATACATTATATATATATCCTTTCTCTCATTTTTTACTCTTCTTAAAAGAATATTTATACTAGTTATATATATTAGTTATAGTACTCTTCTTAAAGAATATTTATACTAGTTATATATATTAGTTATAGTATTCTTCTTAAAAGAATATTTATACTAGTTTCTACAAATATTTTTTACAGATAGTATAAGTTTTTCTTCAAACATGCATATTATAAATATCACTCAGATGATAGAAAGGTGGCTGTCTTAACGAATAATTTTCACTTATAATATCTAAACATTTTTACAATTTTAATTTCAGAAAGAATTTATTTCAAATATGTAAATTTATTGTTCTCTAAAGAAAGCCTTTGGTATAAAATTGAACCAAAAAATGACACGTGAGGAACGTTTCAATAACGATCCTTTAATTTCAATTTTCTACCTTCAAATTATTAAAAAGTTTCTCATGCTCTCACGCGTAATGTTTCGTTATTGAAGCTGCGTAGTTCTGTATCAACGTTGCGTTGTTCCGATTGTTTTCAAGGGAAATTGAACAACTACCAGATGATCGTTTACCTTGAATTCTTTTTCGCGAAAATCACGTTTCATTATGGCGAATAATTGCATTGTGCAACGCGGTAATGTTGCTATTTGTAGCGCGAGATAAGCTAAGCCAGTGTCGCGCGTGCAAACGAATAAAAAAAAAAGCCGTATCGTGTTATAAGAACATTGTCGAGTGTCGTTCTTTTTTGCGAGGCAGAAGCTGAATTCGTTCCGCCTTGAAATTTCATACATGGAAAAACAACGGTTTATAATCAGGAAATTGCAATACTTCATCAAACTAATGGGCGAGTCTCGCCCAAACGAATGAGCGTGTTTAATGGACATACATAAAGTGGATTTAATAATGCGGTTGCCCATTTATCAGCGTAATGACGGCGAAAGAAATTTCAACAAGCACCGGAATCTCTATTATATTTTCGGGGAAAAATATATTTAATACGCGGACGATAATGGCTAATCGTCGCTTTTTAAAACGAGCTGCAATAAAATCAATTTGAATGAAAGAAAATGGAATTCTTTCATTTACTAAAATGATTTAGTACGCGTGTTCAGTCTATACGTATATAAACGTAAATAGAAATCTACATATTTATTAATAAATAATATTGAATCTGAATTTAAAATAAATGGAAAAATAAATTTAAATTAAAGCTATATAGAGAAATGAGGAATAAGGAATCTATATCAAAATTACGTTATATTATGAATTTATACAATTACCACGAATACATTAAAAGTGCACAAAATATGTTTTATTTAATAATTATTTATTATTTTAATTTTACTTATTTACTTATTTAGGGATAAAAATCCTTTGTTATACAGTGCAAAGAAGGCACAATTAATAATGAACGACATACGTGTTAACAGACGTACAAAATCAATAGGTTCAAATATGCTGCTCTTGAGAAATGTAGGAATTCTGAGTAATATATAATTAGAATAAGTTTTGTTCCCTACGTAGACGTAGCTTTCCTTACTTCTCTTAATTCTTAACTTTTAATTTACAATTTACTGTTTGTTGAATGCAACTTCCATTATACTTTGTGCACTTGAGCATGTCATCGGGGAAAATTTGTAATCAAAGTTCAGGAACATGGTTGGGGATGATTGTAACATTAGCCCGGGTCGAATGTAACGTTACAAAGTTACAACCGAGCTCAGCTGACGTAGTTTATCCCTTAATTACAGGCCACTCGTTCCTGGAAAGGAGTCTGAATTTTTATTCCCTTGCCACGATCCAATAGCAAATTTTGATGGTTTTAACATTCGAACTGTTTCAACGTGCAATTTCAACAAGCAAATACGTGTTAAATTAATCAAATAATGCACTGTTGTTGGTGAAAAATTTGGATCTACATTTCTCATTATTGAATCATAACTATAATTCGGTAATTTGTTTTTTTTTTTCGAAATATCAGATTGAAATAATTAAACATCAACAAGAAATTTTATAATAATAACTATCATCGTATAAATGTTAGGGAAAAAAATGTGGAATATAACATTCAACGTTCTCCACTAGTATATGAAGAACAATACTATCAAACTATAAATATATTTGTAGTAATTATTCTACTTCTATCAGCACATAAAACAAGATACAACAAAAAATATTAGATATAAATATTCATTAATTCTTCGTCCATGTTTCAATAAACTCATTAACTAGTATTAATTATTGAGTCAGTAGAGATTCTGGCAATTAATGGTCAGATCATTCGGTTTTGAAATTTTCTTGATCTTTATCACAGAGAATATAAAATGTGAAATATATAATAAAGATTGAAATATAAAATAAAGTGAAATATTATAAACTTTAGTAATTTGATATAAATTGTCATAGTCATTTGTGACCTAAGAATACTGTCTTAGTACCTAACGACACTTTTTTCGGTGGAATGCAAGAATTTCGCTATCTGCAAACACTTTTGTTGCATGGCAAAAACATTATTTATAAACTATTTATTATTTTCATTATTTACAAGTTATTACAACTATCTTTAGTTATACTTGTGGTTAACGGCGCGTGTCACATGTTTTTATCTTCGAGACATCACTCTACTGAATTTCGTTTGAATAATATTACTTTTCCCGATGCTATAAATCTCATTTTCATGCATTCTCTCGCCATAAACACGTAAACCTTGTACTTTGCAATTCAGTTAACGCATAAACGCTGATCGTTAAAAATTCCTTTAACACGCGACGTTTCCCCTTACAGCCACGGACGCGAATCTCATAAAATAACAATCGTATCCTTTCTTTGCCCCGACAAATATATATCCGTTCCTTCGTATCGATTATTTTTTTCAACAAAACATCACGAGGCCTGCCGTGCAAAAGTGTTGGAAGCACGCGAAAGGAATAAAGCTCTCGACTATTTGTTACCTTGCAGCGCGAAGAAAAACAAAAAGAAACAAAAAAAAAAAAAAAGAAACAAACAAAAAACCATAAATAAAGCAAAAAAGAGTGTCCATGGAATCTCGATAATAGAAGAACGCAGCCAGCGTTGTCGTGAAAATTTAACGAGTGGCGGGCACAGGAGGATGGACGAAACCACGCGGTAACAGGAATCACACCGCGTCTCGCTTAACAAAGCTCATTCGAATAATTATGAACGATGACGGGGTAGGCCGAGGTTCGCGTGAATGGCCACTTTTCGCGAGTCAAAGCATCTTTCTGGCGCGGCCGTCGCCAAAGGATATTGGAGTGGCGTTCATAAGGCACAAAGCTAACGAGAACGCAATTGGCGCGCGCACGCGCGCACACATGCACGATCAGTGTAAGTACACTGCATACAAGGAAGCACGCGAGAGTTGTGAATGATGAAGTAGAGAAAGGAGAAAGGAGAATAGAGAGCTACACGACGAGAAAGAGAGAGAGAGAGAGAGAGAGAGAGAGAATGAACAGTGCACACCGTCACGTAAATCTGAACGAAGGGGTGCTGGCCAACGCTTGTACGTTGGGTTGTCCGTGGCCAAACAATGTCTGTCCGAAACAGCCGCGATTTCTCTTATCGCGCATTCAAACGCTAAATAATGGCGCAACTTCTCCTTGGTCAACACCGACAACTCGGTGCTTGCTAGCCGCTCGGCCGACCGGGTACGCTACGCGACCGCCGCACACTATCGCAGATCCCATGAACAGTGAGCAGAATTTCATGCCCGTTCATCCCTCCGACTTTCCAGCCAATCCGCCACCCCCCTCTCTCACTCTTATGCCATTTTCCTCATCGGTACGCGGCGGTACAGCTCGCGCATTGTGCCCCACAGTTGTCACTCGTCGATTGGAAAATTTTATCGAAACTTCTCTCGCAATGAGAAGCGAGAGGGCTACAGGCGATGGCACACACCGATCTCGTTCGTATACTTTCGTACAAATCATATACTTTTTCATCGCTCTTGTCGTTAATACTGTAATTCGGGATTTCATGTGTCCGTGGGGAGGCGAGCAACGAGAAAGTGAAAAGTCGAATCTGAAATTGATAGTTGTGAATAATTCGTTTGGCGCTCTTTTTTAATGGTGCATTTTGGGAGGATATGATTGTTTGTTTGTTTGTTTAATTATACGGGCATCACATCGTTGTTATAACATGGAATATATATATATAATATATATACGTATATATAGTGTAATATACTATTAATATGATGTATATTATAATAATATTATGTACATTACAATTTATTTATATGGAATATACGGAATATTTATGTATAAATATTATATATAAATATTAATATATGGAATATTATAATAATTAATAATATGGAATATATATGTAAAATATAATACGTATATATAGTAATATAATGCATATTATAATAATATTATGTATATTACAATTTATTTATATGGAATATACGGAATATTTATGTATGGAATATATAAATATTAATATATGGAATATTATAATAATTAATAATATGGAATATATATGTAAAGTATAATATATTATTAATATAATGCATATTATAATAATATTATGTATATTACAATTTATTTATATGGAATATACGGAATATTTATGTATGGAATATTATAATAATTAATAATATGGAATATATATGTAAAATATAATACGTTATTATTAATATATTATTAATATATAATAATAATAATGTTATGTATATTACAATTCATTTATATGAAATATATGGAATATATAAATATTAATATATGAAATATTTCAATATGAAAAGAAGATAAAACAAAACAAAATAAAGACAATAATCAAGAGCATACATACAACGTATGTACAGTAGCGTAATTGTCAGATCACACGACTTTATAGAGGATTAAAGAACGAACGTACTGGAAACATTCTGAAAATAGTTTTTAACAGTGATATCACGAATCGTTTTTTTTTTTTTTTTTTCCTCCAGTAATAACCAGTTCCACGCAATACTTTTCACAGTAAAATCTCGCAACTTTAATTACTAATACTCACTTGATGACCCCGGGAAGAATCTACCCAATCCGAGTCCAATTTTCCGCGATCGAAAATAGAATGTAATAATTGTAAAATTATACATCTGGCTCATAACCACGCTTCGCTTGTATCGCGCGTTACATTGTTTCGCACGCTCGAATCCGCCAGCCAATTAAGCGTGCTACGAGTGTTTCTCATGAAACGCGAACGAGTTCATTCAGAAAAGCGTGATTGTCATACGTTGCAAGTACTTCAACAAGGTGTGCAACATGCTCGTATTGTTCCGTTTTCTGCTCGTGCAGAGCGTTTTCTCTCGTCGAGTACGAACTGAGTTAATAATTATTACAGATTTCGCGTGAATCAGTCTTCTTTTACTATTAACATTAACTCTGCACTAAGGATAAAAGACTGAGCAACTCCTCTTCTCTTTGGACTGCGTATGAATGAATAAATTTTCTCATTTTTGTGTCAAGAAAGAAGCGAACGTTTTTATTTTCTCAGAAAACGAATATTATTGAACCTGATGAAGCGTACTTTGGAAATAATTACTATTCAACACACGTATTAGAAGCATTTTGCAAATTAGTCAATTGTGGCTAATTTAAAGAGTTTGTCAAACTTTGTTTACTCGTGAGAAATGTAATATCCGTTCGTATGTGGTACAAACTGTTCTGTTGATATTCTCCATTTAACATGAATGAAACTCGATTATGTATTTCAATGAACCAATTCGCAATAACCAAATTTAAACGTCTTAACGTACACGTACACGTGTATTTGGTTTAGATCCAAGCTTTAAATTAACGATAAATACGAAATATTGTTGAACCTTCAGTTACTAAAATTTGGATAATTTTGTATGCATTTTACATGTACGAAATTAATCTAATATAATTATTATTAGATCGTATTGAATATATTTATTGTATTTGTTTCTTATATATTACGATATAATATTTTATTATATATTATATATTTATATTATGATATTTTATATTATATATTTATATTGGTATATATTAAAATTGTTATATAATTTATATTATGTTATAATTTATGTTATACTTTATTATTATGTTATAACAATTTTATAATATTAAAATTGTTATATAAATATACACAATATTATATTATGATTATGTACGCCCTCATTTAATACATTTATTTATACAATACATTATATATAATCTAATATATTCAGTTATATCTAATACAATAAATACATTATTAGATATAATATATTTATTACATTATGTATGTATGTACATTCAGTTTCTGTTCAAGGATTTGAATGACAAGTTAATTCGTAATAATCAATTTTCCTTTCTTAGCCGCGAGATCATTTTCAATGCTTCCCCGGAAGCACGTTGTTTGAATTTCAATCGAATGCCCACGTTGTCCACTTTTCATCTGCCGCGTCCAGACGTCGCGAAAAATCTTTCTGAATTTGTCTAGCGTGAAGCGAAACACGGATACAAGAGACGGTCCGGTAAATTTTTTCGGTGACAGCCGGCTGACAGAGAGACACACGTTGCGCTTTGAACTGAATCAGGCTTCTGTAAGGACGCGGCCCTTGTAACGCGTGAATCGTGAATCCCAAGCCCGTGTACTAGTCAATCCTGATTTGCCTTTACTTTGCCTGTATTAAAAACTGTCCTCACGTACCATCGTTCGCAAGTCAAGAGTGAAAAGTATGGGGATTTTTCGACTATTAATAACAAATGGAAACTATATTATAACTAGTTTAGCCATTAGCCATTTCATACGCTTGTAAGACTTTGTAAATACTTCATCGTCAAGAAACTATCCTATTTCAGGCTTCTTTACTCTCTAAACGCGCTTCTCATTGGAAAAGATACTTGAAAACAATGATATCGTAATGATGGGTTGTGCTTCAATCGTATTTTATCCAATTATCGTATTTAATATATTCATTAAAGTATAAAAACCATTGTTACGTATCATGATATGATATAACTTAATATTTTATTATTATATAATATTTAATATTATTATTATATAATTATATTCATATTTAACATTAATATTATATAATTATAATATTTTATTATTATATTAAAATTGAATGTTCTGGTGGCATGAAAAAACAAAAATCATCGCCATTTTTATATACTACACTATTCTATTACAGTATACTACAGTAAACTATGTCAGTTTTTCCTGTTTGTCGAAAAACGCTTCGTCGTTTACTTAAATTCCTCACGATCGATCAGTTCTGTGGTACAAAATTTGGTACCTCACGTTCTAATGAATTTTCTTTTACAAATACGTAGAACGCACACACGTGAAACAACGCGTATGAATAATTTCATAGAAAAGGCAATAGTAAATATTTCGTTCGGATATTGGAGTATCGGAATAATATGTAAGAGTTTCGATAAGGGAAGTTCTATTCTACCCCATACGGTGGACGAATACTCGAGTTTTCAAACTCGATTCTCCTGAAAACGAGACTTCAGGCGAGAAAAATTTGTTCTACATTTCTCGACTTATTCTCGCACGTAGAATAACCATCTGCCAATTGTCCACTTCCGTTCAGCTGGGAATTGGTCAAAAACACGTATATTTGAGTTTTCAAACTCGATTTTCTCAAAAATAAATCCACCGGTGCGATTCCCCTACTCCTGCCTCTCGCCTTGTTTCCAATCGCACGATCTTTACTTGCACTACGAATCTAATCGATCATTTCACGACGCCATTCATCGATCCTATGTATACTATACAATCGAATGTAATTGTTCAGAAACTTGAGGATGCAATAATGCAGGCAATTCAAAAATAAAACTAATAATATTATATGATATAATTATACGATAATATATTAAATAATATTATTATATATTATATATTATTATATAATATTATATGATAAAATTATATATTATTCATTATAGTATATTATAAATATAATTACTAATTATTTTATAGTCTGTATTTTACATTTTACATTTTAATTTCTACATTTAAATACGGAATTTATAAAATCCTCTATAAAGAATAAAACGAAGAATTTATTATTCGTCGATATAAACAGAACAAACGAAAGAAAATTCGAGTGCCATTTAGGCAATTTATATTTATAAAGATAATGTAAAGAAAAGACATAAAAAAAAAAAAAAGAAAACTGCAGTTTACTATGCATGTAACGCGAGAACAATTTAAATAGTTCTACGCAAAATGTTCTTCGAATTTCAGGCAATGAAATTCTTACGTTCGCTGAATGCCTGTTAATAGCGAACAATAGAGCGTTACAATTCTCTGTAACTGATGGCAAAATGCGCAACGATATGTACAGTTTAGTCTACGTTGCTCTATTGAGTTAATCAACGTGGTTACCGCGTTAAGTGTTCCAAGACAATTGCCTTTTCGAAGTTAATCGCCTAACGGAAAGCGTTTCGCTAGTTTCATTCATGGAATCCAATTCGTCGTCACTAAACAACGCCATTGTTTTCTAATCAAGTCGTTTGTTAACTGCAATCATCGATGAACATTCCTTGAAACGATTAAAACCAGGTGAATTTTACGAACTAAAAACAAAATTACATGTATTGTATTGAAATTAATTAATAATTTTCTTGTGAATTTTCTTGTGTAATTTTGGTTATTGAGAGTTAAAGTATATTATTAATTTAACATTGTTTGATATTAGCCTTGTCTTGCAATTTTCTTTCCATTATTCTTACATTTATGATTGTAACGTTCTTCTGATATAAAAGACAATTGAACATTGAAACAATTTGTATCTACTGTTGTTCAATTTGAAGAAATTAAATTAAAACTTCGAATTACAATTTTGCAGAATTGCAACTTGCTCTTTCGAAAACCATCGGAACCGTAACTTACTAACACCACAAGTATAATATATCAAATTTAATAATTGTCAGAAAATGTTTATACAGAGAAAAATCAGTTAAATTTTTACGTAACTATAGAATTTTTTAATCTATAGCTTTAGTGCAGAGTTTTATTATTTAACTTAAGTTTCTTATCACACCGTACGACTTTTAATTCTATCATCCTGAATTTGTGAATATGATGAAATAACATTATTTCGGAGAAAAATTTCTATTTTTGTATATTATAAAAAAATTGTACGTGTGAAACTTGTCACACGTTGGCAAATGTAATATTACGAAAGTGGATCGTAACAAATTAATTATAACATGAAATAACGTTATTCGTAAATTTTAATCAAGCAAATTAACACGTTGTCTGAAATTAGTACGAGAAATATATATTTTGTCCTCTGAGAGCCGTATTTAAATCTACAACATTGAAATCTACAACATATGTAATTAAACTTGGATTTTTCGTTAATTCATAGGCAATATTTTTGATTCGCATTCTATTCAAAATCGTAGGAATATTAACAAATGATATTATTGCCTGTGTTAAATTATTTATGAGGTTGGTTGTTTTGCTAAATTACGCTTTCAAACGAAATTCACTAGAGCAATAACAGCAATTGTAGAATATTTAACAAATATATATATATCATTTCGAAGTGTATTATAATTTTGATATTCGATTGAATTATTTTAATAATTACGTTTCGATTTTATTACAAGTATTCCTGTAAAATATTTCTGATATTGCCAATTAAAATGAAAGGTATCTACCTCGATGCATGGACTAAATATCAAAGTCAAGATGAATATCCAACATGTCCAAAAATTAGTATTCAGCAGAAATTCAAGTATCGTAATGGATTACGTAATAAAAAAATATTTGCGCTATTCGGAGAAATCGGAGTTAAAAAATAAAGTCTTGATGATTATTTCTCCTATTTATTGGCAATCATATCAAAATTATAATTTTCTACTATTCTCTATTAATATTAATCGTTCATTAGAAAAATTAGAAATTGTCAAAAATTGAGTACAAGTCAGAGTGGATATATAATATACTACATTAATAAATACAAAATTCTTGGCAAATTATTTAGTTAACAAGGATCAAGCAATAACTTGTTATATATTATAAATATTATAAATCCAATATTATATGTTATATGTTATATAAATGTTATTAATATGTTATATAAATATTATAAATCCAATTTCTTAAAATTTCATAAAACTACTAAATCTAGATAGAAGAATACCATGGAAAAGTATCAAGCGAATCTTTGAAATTTCCTCTCATAGCCTCAATGTCAAAAAAAAAAAAAAAAAGTAATTCTTATGTACTTAAATTAATACTTAACTTGGAAATTTAACTTGACAGACTAAAATGAATAATCCCACTTTCTTTTTTCTTTTATTGACTGAAATTACACGTTCCACTGCGTTTCTTTCACACTCTGAAAAAACAGAATCAAAACGCTCGCAACGCACACAACAAACGAACGTCACACGTCGCGCAGTGAACATCTTTTATGCGAGTCGATGCGATAACATGCGACACGCTGGCACCGAGAACGAGATGCGACAGAGCGAGAAGTCATTTTCACATCATATAATACGAAGCTATAGAGGCCAGTAATCAGAGAGATAGGCATGGAAAGTGAGGCCAGTGATAGGTAGTGATAGTGGTTAGCGGACATCCGTTGAACACATATTTGGTCAGGGATCAGAGAGAATAATCCCCCGGATTACCCCTGGTTTTCACCTCCAATCGTACCCCCATCATTGCCTACCGTTTCGAAACTATCCGTTCATCCGATTGGAATATCGACCGCGGATTTAAACGCCTTTCTGTCGAATTTCCAAATCGGACGGCCAGTCGACTTCGGTTTGCTGCTCAAATATCGGCAAGCAATAAGTACTGGTACTTCCCTGCGAATGATCACGAACGATCGGTCGACGCTGTGACGCTGTATTTCGACGATCGCGAACCGTTTTCTGCGTTCGAAATTTTCGAATTACGAACGGAGCATCGTTCCTCGAAATTCGAGGATCCGTGGAAATTCCTTTTTTGGGGGGGGGGGGGTAGGGGGGGATGCGAAATGTCTCTTGACGCGTCGATTTGATACTTTCAACGCTGGTACTGAACGATGACTGAAACGTAAAATTTACAGGAAAGAAATGAAAATGGAAATACAGCAAAGAATACAAGCTTCTGTCTTGTATATTTTACTAAAAATTACTCGAGTCTCACTATTATAAAATATATATAATTTCTATGAAAGTTTTTAAATTGGTCATTTTAATAATTCTAATGTTAAAGGGCATATATAAATAAAAATGAAAGGAATTCGTAAAATAAAGAATACAAGCTTCTGTCTTATATAATTTACTAAAAATTATTCGAGTGCCACTATTATAAAATATATAAAATTTCTATGAAATATAAATATGTAGAAAGTCTCACTATTATAAAATATATAAAATTTCTGTGAAAATTTCTAAATTAGTCATTTTAGTAATTCTAGTGTTAAAGGGCATGATATAAATGAAAATGAAAGGAATTTGTAAAACAATAAAGAACACAAGCTTCTGTCTTATATAATTATATAATTTACTAAAAATTATTCGAGTCTCACTATTATAAAATATATAAAATTTCTATGAAATATAAATATGTAGAAAGTCTCACTATTATAAAATATATAAAATTTCTGTGAAAATTTCTAAATTAGTCATTTTAGTAATTCTAGTGTTAAAGGGCATGATATAAATGAAAATGAAAGGAATTTGTAAAACAATAAAGAACACAAGCTTCTGTCTTATATAATTATATAATTTTCTAAAAATTATTCGAGTCTCACTATAATAAAATATATAAAATTTCTATGAAATATAAATATATAGAAAGTCTCACTATTATAAAATATATAAAATTTAATAAATATATTTAATATATTTAATTTAATATATTTATAAAATATAATTATATAAAATTTCTATGAAAATTTCTAAATAGGTCATTTTAATAATTCTAGTGTTAAAGGGCATGATATAAATGAAAATGAAAGGATGTCTGTAAAATAATAAAGAACATAATACATTGTACGATATGAAAGTTCTTCTGTCACGAGTATTTGGACACTACGAATCAATCTATCTATCTATTTATTTAAATCATCGCTTTGTACGAATGCAAAATCCCAAACGACATTTCCGAATCATTTTCCTAATTACCAGGGTTAATTATCACGTTCCACGTGTAACTAGTAGATGTCCCAACGTGTATGAATAGCGATGTGTATGTGTGTGAAGTGAATCATGAAATTATCGTCGATACATTGCAACGTTTGTTCGTCTAACTAATCGATATTTATTCTATTGTGCAATTCAGTGAATTGTATATTTGATCATAATTAGCAGCCTTGCATGCCTATTATATTAGAAAAGAAAAAACCACACGTTACACGCTGTATTACACATTTCGTTTTACGTGCTTGAAAAATTATAAATTTGTCCAAACAAAGCGAAATCAAGAGAACTAGGAATTTAGAAGTTTCGTCTATGTTGAAAGAAAATATTTTACATTTTCCATTTACATTTTGAAAACACCATACACGGTCGTCTGTACGGTCGTTTACATGTTTGTAATTTAATTGCGGAAAATCAATTTATCAAGAAAATGAACTATACAATTTCTAAAACAAACGAAAGGAAAAGGCAAAGTGTAGTTTTACGTTACAGAGGGTGTGCAGTTACAGACAATGGCGCGCTGGTCAGAGGAAAATAAACTTTCGTCGCGGCATTTGTTTTTTCTATTTTTGATCAAATAACGGAGGATGCTGTCCGATCGAACCGCTTGCACGATTCGCTCTATATTTTTGCAAAGAGTTAACGGCTGCAGTCGTGAAAAAACTTCGCGACGAGTTGAAAGGGTACTTCTTGTTTTTTGACAAGAACAACTCCGAAGAATATCGCTCACTCACAGTAAAACGCGACAGCGACACTTGTAGAATACTCGACTTGTTTCAAACTGTCGGGGCGCTGGCTTTGTTCTACTAGACGGAACACTGATTCTAGCTTCAGCCTTTTTAACGAGGCAAACAATGTAGATGCTGCTAGATTTTCATTGTTTGGTTTCATTGGCTCGTCTCTTTCAATTTCTCAAAGGACCTGCGGAATGTTTGAACCCTTTCAACCGTTTGAAACGTTGCAAACATTCTATTCTCGTGTCAATAGATTTTATTATTAATTTCAGAATCCTTGAAATTCACTCGTTATATTTTCTTCAAGTGATGAGAACGTGTCAGAGAAAATTACAAAATTATGAAATTTAGTTGAAGGGAAATTTGTGAAATTAATTTTGAAATTTAGTTTAAATGAGTCGCTACCTATAATTTTCACTTTCATCGATTGTTATAAATTCTACAATCCTGTTTGAAATTTATTTAAATTTCTCTGATGATAATTAGTGAATCATTATTTGAGTGAAAATTGTCACCGATGGTCATGAAATTCAAGCAATCGACCGGTTGTTCTATTCTATTCTTCAGTCTTATTCTTCTAATACCAAAGTTATACGTCAGTCGAGAGTTACAAAATAAATAAATTATCTCCATGAAAACGAAACATTCCCCAAAGTAAAATATCTTTAAATTCTAAAATATACAACTAATAATTTATGTTTGACCTCTTGCCCTGGAATGACGTGTCATGCACGTCAAGAACTTTTTGTCTCAAATTGCAACATTGTTTCAATTTTAAGTATATCAGTTGTAAACCAGGCAAAAAAAAAAAAAAAAATGACAAATTTATCACTTCTTAATAATTTCTATTCAGTGATATCATACCGACGAGTTCAAAGGAAAAAGAAAACGAATTATTGTATACGGTTCGGTCACTCGTTATGGTCCGCGAACCAGTTGCCAGCGCAAGTGGTTAAAGAAACAAACATGCAACCAGAATATTCTTCCCAAATACGTTCCATTCTCTCAACCATCTCCGTTAAAAATACCAACATTCCACGAACGATCTACAAACGCTAAACACCAATAATGTACATCTTCGCTCGACTGATGATTCATGCATCTGTTCGACACCTGCGACTTTTGTTCCACTAGATTGGCAAAACTGGCCACCGTGCAACACCGCGTGGGTCTGAAAGGTCCAATTTCGGGAAGTGCAAATGCGGCTGGTAAGACGGTTTCCCCAGCTTTGATCGTAGAAAATAGACGGTAGCCGGTTCGGTTAGCCGGTCTGCGAGAAGGGATGGGACTCTCTTCACATACACACACTCATACACACACTCATACACATACAGGAACAAGGCAAGAAGGTCGAGTTGCACGATGTGTATACTATATAGAGAGGAAGAGACCCGGGTCGATACCTGTTGATACTTCGTTCAAATAAAAGTCAACTTGTACGGCGAGTGGTTTAAAAGTCACACACACACATACATACCGACATACACGCGCGCACAGCCAACCTGACGCGTTCCCTATCGTCGTCGTCGTCGTCGTCGTCGTCGTCGTCGTCGTCCTCTTTCACGGAGTTTCTTGCAGGAAGGGAGGTGCAGCTCGAGAGAGGACGAGAAGAGTTAAAGGGTAGTAAGGAGGACGACTCTCAAGTACACGGAAAAGTTGGAGAAACTTCGGTTGGATACCGTCTGTTCCCGCTGGCGTTTTATTATTTTAACGCTTCTGATACCAGAGCCCCGGCTGGCTGTTTCCCCGTCCGTCGGTCTCGGCGGTTTTGTTTTTCAAACAGGGGGACTTTTCGTCGTTTCGCCTCGTCCCGGTGCTCGTCCATGCGGCCGCGATTCCATGCTACCGTAACTTTCGATCGTCAGATCGACCCCTTCGTCTCTCCCCCCCCCTCCCCCCTCCTCCTGAGTTGAAATTTAGATTCTTTCAGGGAAGTGGTTTTGTAATTGTAAGAGGAGTCGGTCGCTAGAAAAATACTCCCACGTGTTTGAAAGTAAGATGACAAGTCACGTCACATGTGACGAAGTTGTGTATAACAACGTCGACGAATTTGTAGCAGAGCTTTTATCTTACGAGCTTTCAGTTCGCGAATGTCGTCAAATTGTTGCAACGAAATGTAAACTGCAGCAAACGATGACTTTCTAATTACTAATAGATAATACTTGAATCTTGAATTTTGAAATAATGATCCAGGAAAGAAGTTTTTACTGTAATAGTTTCTTGAATGTTCTTCTTAATCTGGAATAGTTAATAGTTACATGAATAGGTGGAATGAATTTTAATTGCTTTTCTCAGTATATTAGCCAAGTTGAAACAAACTTAAAATAATATAATATAATAAAATAATATTATATTATTTTAAGTTTGAAATAAACTTAAAATAATATAATAATATAATAAATAAAATAATATAATATACTTTTTTCAGTACATTAGTCAAGTTTGAAACAAACTTAAAATAACATAATATAATAAAATAATATTATATTATTTTAAGTTTGAAATAAACTTAAAATAATATAATAATATACTAAATAAAATAATATAATATACTTTTTTCAGTATATTAGTCAAGTTTGAAACAAACTTAAAATAATATAATATAAATTATAAGATACATGATATTAAATGAAACCTAATTAATAAGTCTCAAAAAGACTTTAGCATTTAAGATGATTGTTGAACTACATGTATGTTACTGTATTGTAACATATGTTCAATTTTTACCAAACAGTATGTTGCCATATTGTAATACACATGTTTACAATAAATCGTGTAACTATTTTCAGAATGACTTTATATTTAACCAACATGATAATAATCATAACAGCTGTGTTTCACCACAATGTTAATCAAACTTTAAAATATTTTATGTAACATATTCATAATATATTCATAAAAATTAGTATCACACTATGTAGGTGTTCGAATACTTTCGCGTGCAACTTTATACATTATTTACGTATATTATATGAAACATTTTAAAATTTTATATCGATTGACATAATGATAAAGATTTACGTATGATGATTGTATGATAATTTCTATATAAATAATTTTTCTTAACACTGGCCACTGTCATTTCATTTACATACATCGTAATTTATACTCGTTTTACAAAATTCTAAACAGATTTTCATTCACTCGAAAATAATACCCGAAGAAGAAATTCGTAAGAAACCTTAACTTGATTTCACTTCTCTCGTTTTTATTGCCTCGGGTAAAGGATCGACTCAACTGGCCAGGTTCAAGTTAAATACTTTACATTTCTTTAATAACTTCCTTCGTAAAATTTACTTATCTCAATTTACCGCTGGCAGCAAACTTTCATTATTCTCGTTTTTCCACCCTCTCCCTTCCTCTCTCTCTCTCTCTCTCTCTCTCTCTCTCTTTCTTTCTCTCTCGCTCGCAGAGCAAACGATGAGAAGAGAAAGCAAGAGAATGGTCAAAACAAGAAAAACGAGCTCTGAAAATAAGACGACTGAACGAAATTCCTTTTCGATATTGTTTAGTACAGAACAGAGTCCACTGATCCAATTAATAATAAATAATTAATTAAATTAATTAAATGAGACTATTCCTGAAAGATTTCTGAAGTATTAATAAATAATCTGTGTGCTGTATCGATTAATGCATCAAAGAACGCACGATTCTGTAATATTTCAAAACTTTAATATCTATGAAATTTTACAATTACATAAAAATTATTAGTATCATTTTCTTCGTAAAAAAATTTTTCCATATCTCTAAAAAACAACGAAAACTTATATTATAAATACATTTATACAATGTTACACATTTATACATATACCAGACTTATAGATAAATTCATGTATTTTTAAATTTTGTTTTATAATGAATTTTATGTTTTAAATTTCACGTAATTTCTTTAAAAAAAAATGTAATCATCTATATATCAGTTATATTGTTTTTTATGAGGAGTTTCATACAACAACGAAACACAATTCTAATCCATTATTATCGTCAAAAATTATCACAAAATCTAGTAAGAGAGGCCAGAAACTCAAATGAACCATTTAATTCTATGAAATATTGTATCGTACAAATAAATCTGAAATGCTTTAGTTTACCTGTCAGAGATATGTTAAAATATATTGAAGCATGTCATCAAAGATGAACGTATTCTTAATTCGTTATATTCTCCATTCGATATTAATTAATAACATTTGACAAAGAATTTACCTATAATCACGCGTATTATTTTCAATTCAAGAGCTCCTTTCTTTTCACGCAAACGATGTTAATAAAAAAAGTGAAATTCATGAAACGTAGAGTCAAGATCAATTTCTCTCGTTTCTCAAATACGAGTTGTCCGACGCGAACGCGTTAAAACACAACGAAACAACCCTGGTTTCCCCGCCTACCGCTATTATTTTCCACGGCATTCACCATCTTGGATATTAAAACTGCAAAACAATCGCGATGCTGGAATGAATAGACCGCGTTCAACCAACCACGGGACTTGATGGCCCGGACATTTTCGAACAGAACACGTGAACTCTCACAACCGAAAAGTCGTTAGTTCTCGCGGCGAAGTTCTTCTTTGAGAGGAGTCGTGTCTCCTCTCGGGGAGAAGAGGAGAAAAAAGAAAGAGAAATATTAATTTTCAACGAGAGAAAAAGAGAGAGAGAGAGACGAACATAAAAGATAAAAAAGTCAGTGATCTGAATAAATAAATATTTTTCTTAGCAATAATTTGCTAGAATTCAATCTTCATGTTAAATTTAAGCTGTGTAAGTTCTTTTTAGATTCGTCAGAAATATATGTATGTGTTTATTCTAAATAGAGACATCTCTATTTGAAATTAGCAACTATGAAATTAGTAACTATGAAATTAACAGTTAGAAAGCATCGAATATTCCTGTGACTCGTTGCACGAAATATCTCACCTATTTCAATTAAAGTTCTGTCAAATTTCCTATCAAATTCTTCTACATGAAATTAAAAAAACAGTGCCTCGGTTATTCAAAGAAAGCAGAATAACAATGTAACACTACGCTCCAAAGTAAAAGTTGCTCCCAAAGACGGTAGCTCTCGAAACGAAAAAAAAAATAAAAAAAAATTAAGTTTCCTGGACGCACGTTGCTCTGGTTGCGAGCATATTTCTACCAGTTTGGCGAAATTCGGGACATAAAAGTCCCGATAAATTTTGCATGGGAATAACAAACTGAGGCTGGCAAACATCGCGAAACATGAATACATATGTCTCGATTTTGATGCAGAACGTTGAAACGCGAAGCCGTTTGTAACTTCGGAATTCCGTTCGGCACGACCCGAAACCGGCGATCGCCGGATATCTTATCGATCGTGATGTATGGAAGTTTGACATGGAAATTTCGGCGCGCAGTCGCCGACGGTAATGATTGAAGTTTCGTTAAAACTTCTGCGCGAGGAAAAATCGTTGGCCCCGGGTGGGGAAGGGGGACCTGACTCTGTCGATCTATCATTCGAAAATGTAAATTCTCATTGTTTGGAAGAGCGATGCTCGATACAGGGGTGAATCGGGATTGTTTGCGGGGCGCTGCATTTAAATTTTCGTCGAACGGTACGACGAAAAGTAATCCGTTCGTTGAAACGACATCGGAGTGCCAGCATCCGATAATGACGTTTATGGATAAATTCTTACAAACAGAGATTTTATGACTTCATCTTGAAATTGAATGGAAAATCGTGCAATGAATATTTTATTGAAATTTCTATGGCGAAAATACTTGTTCCAGATTTTGCGCGATGTAAAAATTCTTCGCAACTTTGCTCGAATAAATTTAAGTTTATTGTGAAATTTATGTGTAATTGATATACAATTTATTTACAGTGAAGTTTGTTTAAATAAATATTAAGACAATGATAGTGCACATATGTTGATCGAGAATTATACATAATGTTGTGTCAAATTGGCTCATTTTTTTTTTTTTTTTTAAGAAACGATAAGAATTAATTAACGAGAATCATTTTTCAGTTTTAAGTTTGTCATGATCTCAAGGAAACAATCATTGTACATTTATAGAATTTCTAGTTCGTTATTTGTGTTATATATTTTTTTCACTAACAGTGGTAACTATCGTAATTGCGGTGGCGAAAATATAATATATATAAAAATTACAAAATTACGTTATAATTAATATTATAATTGTATATTCAATTATATTACGATCAATTTTAAACACCTGTCAATAACATCTACTCATTTTTTATTTAATGTGTATTGTTTGTAGTAAATATTTCGTAAATTTAATACACATTTTCTAATTATGTATGCTATTGGATTTTATCAATGTAATCGTGGTAATTATTATACCTCATTGCTAATGGAGTTAATGCACGTAACGTAATTTCCTACAAATGCTCAAGTACCTTCATGAACCACCATATACACTTTCAAATTCGTTCTAAATTTTACTAATACAATGATAATGATCCCATTATAGTGCTTATGAAATTTGAAAATGTTCTAATATATTTATAAAAAATTTCTACAAATATTTTTTCTTTCAAAGTATAGTACTGTTTGAATAAATCTGTACAATTGCAATGTCCTAATCACGACCACATTTTATTATAACAAAATTTTTAGATGCTTTACGTAATATACACGTCATTTATTATATATTATAGACGTATAATACATTAACAGAAAATCATTATTTTTTCACGAAACGCCGTTCTCAACCTTCTTCGAAATCCGTGCATCGAGAAAGTCAAATCACTCTATAAGACTGTTCGCATAATATACCTATATCTTACAATTCCTATATTTTCACAAATGTATGGTGCTACTAAAATTCCCAAACGCTTTATATATATTCATAAACATAAAAATAGGAAAGTATGCAAAATAGATTTTGCGCACAGATTTCATTCGGCAAAAGACGAAATATTCTATACACGTAATATTCATAAAAACATCCTTCAAATATTCAAATACAATCCACCATACCATCGCACCATCCGCGGAAAATCATTACTCTTTCACGAATCCCCCTCCCCGTGACAAACGTCGCACTGTCCTCGAACCCGTGCAACGTTTGAAATCCAACTCAGGGCACCATCACGAAGACATCGTGATAGAAAAAAAAAAAAAAAAAAAAAGAAAAAAACGTTCCATCACGGAGACGAAGAAGAAAAAGGTCGCAAGGTGGCAAGCGTGCAAGGAAATGAATACGGCCGCGCAATATCGCCGGCTTTGTTCCCATCGTTCGGTGGGGGATGTTCGCGCGTAACAAGAAATCGCCAGACAGTGCTTCGTTTGTTCGTTCGTTCCCCGAAGATATCGAGGATCGCGGAAGACGCGTGTGAGAAGTGAGCACGAGAGCAAAAAGGGGGATGATGATGGTTCGGCGATGAGCGTGGTCGCACGCAGTAGTAGAGGCGGCTATTGAGCCGGCCGGCCGACTCGCGGCATCCTCATTAAAAATAATCAATATCGCGATATTAACAAATGCCCCTCGCGGCTTTACCAATTGCCCGTCGCCCGTCGTTTCCCCCATCGTTGAAAAATCAATAGCACGTCCGAGCTAGCCGGCACGCCACGTCGTGGAGTTGCCGAAGACATTTTTAAATGCGTCACGTCAGCATCCTCCCCATCACTGGCGATGGATTCTGCGAACGCTCGCGCGCGTTGCGATATTATTTGTTGCACGTTACGTATACTTTCGAAGTATACGAACGGACTGCAACTGTTGGTTGCTGACAACTGAACACGATGTGTCGGGGAACACACTTGTACATATGTATGCACGTACGTACGGTAATCTGAATCGAAACGGGTTACTGTCACCATCTTTTTTAGTCCTCCCGTTGATGGTGATGGTGTTTCAATGCGAACGTGGTGATTTCCGAGTGAGAGGAATGTGATTGAAATGAAAAGGGTTATTGTGCGTTGAATGGAGGAACGTTGAAACAGTTCCCCGTCGGGAACTATCGTTTGCGAGTATTTGGATGAAATACACTTCAAAAAGACTCTTTAATCTAAGTTGTCTGGTCTTGTTTCAGACAACCAGATACAGTGTTAATGTAATATATGGGGATACAGTTCCAAATATATAAATTTTATTTCAAATGAGACACTTTAAACTAGTCCAATTTTGTCTCAGGTACAATATTTATTATATAATATTATATATATATATATAATATTATTAATATTATTATTATACAATATTTATTATATAATATTATATATATAATATTATTAATATTATTATTATACAATATTTATTATATAATATTATATATATAATATTATTAATATTATTATTATACAATATTTATTATATAATATTATATATATAATATTATTAATATTATTATTATATAATATTATATATACAATATTATTAATATTATTATTATACAATATTATATAATATTATATATATATATAATATTAATATTTTAGTAGATATTCTTTTAGAATCTTGGGGATAAAGTAGTTAATTCTATATATATGTATAAATAAAATTATATAGGATATATTATTCTTTATATAGGATCTATGAATAAAGTATTTAAATTAATAGTAATGTGTCTGGGAGTTTATTAAATATGCTGGCATTGGTTTATTAAATTCGAGCTTCAAATAAATAAATCTGACAAGATCGTATAATTGTGAGTAGACTCTTGCTTTTTACAAAATAATTCTTACAAAATATGAATTTGCATAAAAATTTCTAGGATGCACTATCGTTTATATTCATCCTTGAGAAGGAACATTTTTGTATTCATATGACTAGGTTGTTCAGTCCAGTTTTATCATCTCGATGGCAACGCATTGCACGTCCAATTATATCAACGGTCGCACCATGAGAAAAAAAAATAAAAAAGAAAAAAAGAAGAAGAAGAAGAAGAAAATTCATGGTGGAGGAAAAGCCACGAAATCCAATTTCCTCGGGGCGAGAAGCCCGGGCATCCGTAGCAATCGTTTCCTAAAATGTACTTTACGCTGACCGTAAAAAACGGAAGCGGAAAATTTTTCTCCTTTCGGCAAACTTTCGAAGTCGCGTTTCCCTTTCGAATTTCATTGTCGTACTCTCGGGGATCCACTTAGCGAAAACTGAATTTCAGGTGAAATTCCGAGTCGAACAAAGAACCATCAGCCATTCAACGTGGATCGCTGCTCTCCCGAGGAAACCTTCGATATTAAACACACCGACGATCCTATCGAAATGAAAACAAAAAAAAAAAAAAAAAAAAAAAAAAGAAAAAAAGAAAAAAGAAGGAAAAGGGAAAGAAGAGAATTTCCGAGTTAACCGTTCGATCATTGTAAAGTAATACAACAATTGTGTGTGATTTAAGATTCTCGGCTGGATTAGTCAAGTTGTAGTTGAGATCAAATGGCTTAGATGAAACTTTTTCTAGATTGGTTAAATTACTTCAGTTCAGTTTGAGATCAAGTAACCTAGTTTTAACCCTTGAGTGGACCAATGGGACAATGCTGCGGCCCCATCTAATTATTGCATTTTGCGTCGATGCAATTACTTGAAGATTTACGTAATACTCTGTCGTTTCATTATGCTTCTAATGCTGGAAAATTTATTTTTTTTTCTCTACTATTTATCACAGATTAAATACGAATCTCAGTTATTAACTTTCCTATGGTTTTACGATCATTTCACACTTTCAACTCGTTTGTATTCCCCTAAAATGGAAAGATATCTCAAGTTTAAGCAAAATGTGAAGTTCTCATTGATGTGCATTATTTTTCGATTAAATTTTATGTTGAATATCTATTCGAAATGTTGCAAATCCTTCCTGTTTGCTAAACTAATGTATAAATAATTAAACCTACAAACCTGTATCTATTATACGTAAAATTTTAATTATGATACTAAATAATGTTACATAATAAACATGTGATGGAAAAGAGTATTCTGTTGTAAAACAGGTAAAAACGAAAAGGACCTTCTGTATTAAAGTAAAAAAGGGACCGTGTATCTATTAAAACAGATAATACTTTAATATCGCGAGGAAGATTAAAAAATACGTGTTTAGCTTCAAAAACAAATAAAAGAATAATTTTCACATTTTCCACGCATTTCTCTTCTTCTCTTTCTATCATAAAAAAAAAAAACAAATGTAACAAGCAAATGTAAAAACTAAAATTAACAGAAGGTTCAACCAAAGTTACCAGAAGAATTAACTAATGCCCGAATAAAAATATCAGCGCAAAAATATTTTACACGCCAAGTATGTGTCCAAATACTAATAAAAATCACTCGCACCCCCAAGATTTCATTACCTTGACCGAGAATATTACCTTCGTCTAATAACGCGACATTTTTTGCCAATTTAAACCTTCCCCTGAAACGAACAAATCCATCAGCCGACTCATTTATCGTCATTACTCTCCCCTTAAAAAAAAAAAAAAAAAAAGAAAAAAACGAATCTCCCTTCAGAACAAACAGAACTCGCGTCGACCATTCTTTTTCCTACACGATAACGGTCATTATTTTTCTGTACAATTCTTCTCACTGATGCTTGCATTCCTCTTTAAACTTCACGTGCACACGAAGGTCGCGTTAATTGCATCCATCGATTGAAAATCGTACATTCTTTAAACAATTGTCCCTCAACGATCGACTGACTTTTGATTCTAGAAGTTGAAAAAAATAATTGTTACTCGAGATCATCAAGTCGACGTTTATAGCGTAAAAGTTTCCATCAGAGATGTTAAAGTAAAAGAAACAAAAAATCTTTATACATAAAAATCTTTATCTATACAACTTGAACTTTAACTTTAATTTCAAAAATTCACCGAGGGGTAGGCGGGTGCCACGTTGGGAACCACGGTTCCAGTGTTAAGAAGGAGAAAAACGAAAAAGATTCCAAATTAGGTTGATCGAAATCAGAAGGAGAAAGGGAAAGAGAAACAGTAGAGATCGAACTAACCGACAACCATCAGGGTAAAGTCAAATCCCTTTTTAACGGCCTTTCTGTAAACTTGATTGGGCAGATTCGCGAATCCCACGTAACCGTCGAGCTCCTTGGGCTTGGTCGGTGGTGTTGGTCGTGGATGATGAAGAACAGCAGTCTCCTTGTTCTCGGTGGCTCTGTTTGATTCTCGTTTATTGCTGTCCTCCGATGCATCGTTTTGATTTAGAATCACCGTGGACGGAGGTAATCGTGGCTTGGAACTAGGCGCCGACGATGTGACACTTGTGTACACGGTCGAGGAGGCTGGCGGTGGTACTGTGTTAGGCGAGGCGAGCGTTGTGATTGTTGTGGTCGTCGTCGACGACGTGCTCGTTGACGATGTGCTCATCGACGACGGGGCCTGCGACGGTGGTTGCGGGGGCGGCACCGACGGCACAGATGGTGACGATATTATTCCGGCGTTGTCGCCTTTGAAGAATAGCTCACGCTTCGCCTGTATCTACAAATAGAGGATATATTATCATTTCTCGTACAATTATAATATAATATGTTCAAATCATAATGTATACAATTATAGTATGATGTATATAAATGTGTTAAAATATATTATAATAATGCATTCGTATGTTATAATAAATTGTGTAGCAATTTATATTTTTATTCCAGCTGGCCCTTGTTTAATAAACTAGATTATTAAAAATACACTTTTTAATGTGTTTAAAAGACTATTAGACTATTAGATCAATTACAATATATGTTATAATATATTCATATATTATGATAAATTATGTACCAATTTGTATTTTTATTCCTTGTTTATTAAAAATGCACCATTTAATATTATAAATATTAAACTAATAGGTCAATTATAATATATATGAATGTATTAAAAAATATATTAAATATATAATGTATTAAAAAATATATTAAATATATAATGTATTAAAAAATATATTAAATATATAATGTATTAAAAAATATATTAACATATTCGCATATTATAATAAATTATATATCAATTTGTATTTTATTCCAGTTGGTCCTTGCTTATTAAATAAAAATGCACCTTTTAATATTATAAAAGACTGTTAGACTAATAGATCAATTATAATATATACGAATGTATTAAAAAATATATTAACATATTCGCATATTATAATAAATTATATATCAATTTGTATTTTATTCCAGTTGGTCCTTGTTTATTAAATAAAAATACACCTTTTAATATTATAAAAGACCATTAGACTAATAGATCAATTATAATATATATGAATGTATTAAAATATATATATTATAACATATTCGCATATTATAATAAATTATATATCAATTTGTATTTTTATTCCAGTCAGTCCGTATTTAACAAAGTTTATCAAATAAAAATACACCTTTTGTTATATAAGCGACTGCTAGACGTCTGCCAAAAAGGGGTTCAAATGATTATAAAAAATACATTATACTTTTACAAAATATATATCCAAGTAGATGACTTTTGTAAAAGTGATTTTAGGTTTTTCACAAATTATCGACACGATGGAAACCTCCAGCCCGATATTGCATCAATAATTTCACACTAGAATATCCTGCAGCTGGTGAATGAGAAAATGCTCTGCGAGTGAATGAACTTTAAGTAAAGCCACTGCTCGCTCTTCTATTATGTTACTACAGTGTCCAGCGAGAAGTACCTATTCACGTCAATAACACGTCGTTGATGCCAATCTGTTCCAAATACACAAATGCCAAGATCGGTCATCATCTTTTCCGCTATTCTCATTCTATTAGCTTTTTTCTTCTTCTTCTTCTTTCTTTTTTTTTTTTTTTTTTAATCAATTTGGAACACAGTTTGATCCAATTTGAATCTCTGCATTGTTCGTACAATACAATACGAAGATATGCGGGGATATCAATTGTTAATAGAGTGCTATAGCTTCAAGCTATGTCATTGATCCAACTGCGCGAATTAGAGGCAACCTGTCCTCTTTTCTATCGTCTTTAATTACGTTTGAATGTTGAAGAAATGGTGCAGAGTTTGGGAAGTATGTGAAATATGTAAAATTACACATTTTTTTAACCCTTCGAGAGCTTGAAATTCGAAATTTATTATTATCACTAAATGTCGGAAAAATTTGCTTATTATCATTAAAAATGTTGAAAGATACGCCAGAGAATGCACAACATACAACAAAATATTATTCATATTATTTTCATGATCAAAATTCAAGGTTCACCGTGTATCAAATTTGACACATTCGAAACGTCGAATTTAGCAATTATTCGCGTCCAAGTTTGCCGATCTCGAGCTATCTTCATCCAGTGTCTTTTGTATCCGCTTTTGTGTCAGGAAGTTTCGATCGTTCGGAAGGATCAACAAACACGCGTAAAAAACACAAACAGGGGGTGAATAATAACGCGGCGCGTTGTAACGGGGTTTGCTTGTTCGCGATCGATACGACGCTTTACATACAACGGCTGGCAACGGAGCTATGGTCAACCTCGAGTGGCGCAGTGTCTTATGAACTTCCGGCCGGAAGTGGCTACTGTCCGGAGCACCAAACAGAGAGACTGCAGGCCACGGGTTGACAATCTAGAATACACAACTCTTGGGCAAAATACGGCGTTAGCAACAGTTGGACGAAGACAACGAGATTCCGTTGTAAACTAAAATTCTCGCGAGAATAGTATAGTTTGACACACATAAACACGACTATAGCATCAGAATTCGCCTAGGCGAAATATTTAAGTCGACTTAATAATTATTATAAATAATGATAAATAAATCTTTAAAGGAAAACAAATATTCTTAAAATGGTAAAATAAATTTTTGAAACAATGTTCTTCAACGAACGGTATATAGCTCATTAGGTCGATTAAAGGAATTTGAAGCTACGCAAATAATTGGGAAAATGATAAATTGAAGAACTGATTATTTGAGAGAATAATATTTACTCGATAATTGAAAATTTGCCTTTAAAGTAACATTCAAGAGAAATACCAAAATATTCAAATGAAAAAAATTATAACCAATGAAAATCAAAATGATTTATTAGTGTTATCACGGAATGTGCAGAAATTTGTTTTGACTTTTAACAGGACTCGTTGCTCAAATATTGTAGCATAGTAACTATGCCACAGTCGTAGAATAGGAATTAGCGAATATAAACATTTGTTTCTATCAAAATCAAACAACAACATACCGACGAGTTCAAAAGAAAAAGAAAGCGACGAATTATTGTATGTACGGTTCGGTCACTCGTTATGGTCCGCGGACCACAGTTGCCAGCGCAAGGGGGGTTAAGGGAAAGATTTGCGCGTTTCAGTTTTCGCGAGGAGGACTGAAAAGAGCAACGGAGTTCCTGCTTCAAGCGCGAAAACCTTTTTGCGATCCCGCGGCTGCAGCGTCAAAGACAGCTCCGGCTCCGCCCCGCACAGACACACGACTTCGCGATGAAGAAAAAAAAAAAAAAACAAAAGTCAAAAGAAAAATGCGTGGTGCGCCTTGCCACAGTTTTTAATATCAAGAGACCAGATAGAAACGAAGCACGGCGTGAATCATAAATATAACACCGCGTGTCCCGTTACAATTCGATCCCTAACCGCGACACACCGCGAGTGGAATATAAATTAAATAGCTGGTCCGTGTCCATTAGGGAACGTGGTGAAGAATGTGCGTAAGGTCAAGACGGAAGCGAGACCGAGATTCTCAACTCGTCGGGCTCGTGTTTCCCCGATATCAATTCCGTTGATAATACGACGCGTGCGTGTATGCATTCGTTTCTTTATTTGCCCGCTCGTGCCATGTAACGCAGTAGTCCAAACGTAACTGATCAACAATCGGGACCGAAATTCTGTTTAGTGAAGCGAGGTGGTGATTTCAGGAAAGAAAGAGTGGGGATGAGCGTTAACTATTTTACCAATATTGGTATCATATACATGTATTCGCTTGTTTTATGTGCGCCAGTGTTATGTTTCACGCAGTCGCACAGTAAAGTAGCGTAGAGTCCCAATTCAAAGAATTGGTCAGTTACGAGATCCAAAGTGTGGCCTGTTACGCGAGGACTACTGTAATATCTCGAAGAGTACCTCGATTTTTGCCGAGAGAGTCTCGAAAGAATCGCTAGATTAGAAAAAAAAAAAAAAGAGAAAGAAAACTTCACAAAAAACACGGCGCGCAGAGTCAACGAACGAGCGACAGCACTTCAGAGGTGTTTTACACGTATGTATACATAAGCAACGAAAGTGCGCGCGACGTGGTCGCACGGTAAACTTACACGTCCAAAAGTGGACTGTGTACAGCGCGGTTGAAAAGGCTACGAAACTTCCTTTTTTCCCCCCCTCTCTTTTTTTTGTCGAAGCAGAAAAAACGACGATAAACGAACGAACGAACGAGAGAAAGATCGTTACAGGTTAGCGGCGAGTTTCTCGATTCGACAAACCGAGAGCTTTTGCGCGCAGAATCCGCCGCCGTCGGATTCTGTTTGCCAGGGTAGAGGAGAGGGGAATGTCGTTTACGAAAAACAAAAACCCGAAGGGAAACTAAAACGCTTGTATCAAAGACGCTTGTATGTACTAACGCACTTCGTGGAAGTTAAAAACATAGTATTACGGCGGTGTATACTACATAGTGTACAAACATAGTACACGCAGCGTGGTCAAACTAGTTTTGGAAAACGTCGTTCGGGGGCGAACGCGTGACACACCGTCGGAGGACCTGGGTGGCCTCGACGATATCATTTCCAGGAAAAATCCGCTGGCACGTTGATTACGAAGACGCCCTTTATTTACGGGCACAATGTAACAAAGAGGTTGGACACGCGTCCACCGGCGGCTGGGAAACCAAAGAGAGAGGAGGAGAGGAGAGACTCGGTGGAACCGAGTGGAGCATCGTGGAGCAGAGAAACCGGTCCAGTGCACATAAGACAGTGCACAACAGCGAGACACAACCTCATTCCGAAGTCTCTCGAGAGACCTGAAGGAGGTGGTGAACGCACCCGTGACAATTTACCCGTGCGACTGACTTCCTCCTCCTCTCTGAAACCTTGAGACTTTTCAGCTGGAAACACACAGAACAATGGAAAATCAAAGAAGCTTCTCGGTGAATCTAAGAATATTCCGCCAACCGTCTCTTCTTCTCGAGGCCTCGAGTTCTTTCTCCGTCTCTCCCCACTTCGTCGAGAATGAGACACGGAAGCGCCCTTCCCGCGAGAACAATACAAATGACACGGCTGTGTTACGCAATGTTGTTGCTGCGATTAACGGTGTTAATAAACACGTATGAAAACAGGATTTAGTAACCTTAAAATGCAAATGAAGTAGAATGAATGCGAATTATTGTATACGGTTTGGTCACTCGTTATGGTCCGTGAACCAAGTTACCAACCAGCACATGAGGTATCATTTCATATAAAAATCGAATCAATTTATTTTCAATTGTACGATTTATCTTTGTTACTTCGTGAAGTGAATTATTTACTATTTTTTGCAGGATCTTTGTTGTTTGATCTTCATAGAAATAACTGGTTTTCTCAAGGTGTAATGTCCAATGTTTATATTTACTAATTCCTATTCGGGATTACGGCATAGTTACTAATCTACAAACAGACAAGGTTGTAAAAATAAGAAGCCAGTTCACTTCTAGAAAATATTAATACTTGAACCCGTGAGAATTTTGCAGGCTAATTTATAAATGAATAAACAATCAGTAATTTCCATTTCGCGGAATAAAGATTTTCACTTCTAGGAAATATTAATATTTAAATGTAAATTCGCGGGCTAATTTTTAAATGAATAAATAACCAATAATTTCTATTTCACGGAATAAAAATATTACGAGAAAGAGAGATCTCTCAAAGAGAGACGAAACGATTTTCATTTTTCATGGAGATCCACCATTCCACAATGGTGACTTGTCCTATGGAGACTTGCCAAGAGATTATTGACCTATACTCCACTGCCGTTTCCATTGTCAATTTTAAAAATATCGCGCGAAATTTTTCAGCTGCGAATTCAACATTTTTCAAACTTCAATTTAAACTTTATGCACTTGAAATGAACGTGCACGAATTACAAATATACAGACACGTCCTCTACTGTTTACGTTTGTGTTTAGCCAATTCTCCGTAGTGTCCCGTGCTCCATGGAGCGGAAATATGATTTCGCAGCTCGTTAAATTTTCACGACGTATCGAACATAAGTTTACGCTCTCTATATCCATAATTCTTGTCCTTTTTTTTTTTACAATTCGTTCTTCCAAGTCTCGAACTATCATATCCGTTAGTTGGTTCGTCGATTTGCAATGATGTCATACACAATTCAATGCAGAAAAGTTGTAGAAACATTCGAATTGAAAAATCTTGAAATATTACACAAAGTGTAGTTTGTAATATGACTTTTATAAAATACATCGATTTCCTGTTAAAACTGAAGCATGGAATTAAATATAAAAAAATGAGAGCCTCTGAAGAGACGATAGGTTTTCACAGAAAAAATCGACCATGATTTTTCTGAAAATATGCTTTAAATTCGACAGCGATAGAAAGGAAAGTGGTTTATAATGAACGACCGACTATCGCCCCGGATGAGATCATCTCGAGGCGACTTGTCTTTTGCACTTAAATTTCTAACTCGTGCACCGTCAGCTGAAAGCAGCTTTCGCCTCGAGGGGGGATTGCATTTTATCAGATTTTCCCTTCCTTTTTGCCAGCAAGCTCCGGATTTATCTCCCCCCCTCTTCGCGGAGTGTGTATCGCAACAACACACGTTTCTTTCGTGCAACTTTTAAATGCGGCTTTCCATCAGCTTCTTCCCAGCATCCGTGATGGGCTTCCAGAACTCCATACACGGCGTTCTAGAATTATTTTCCATGTCCGATGCGAAAGAAAAAAAAAATCCCCGATTAACAACGACTGCTGCGTTTAACATTTCAAAACATTCGAAAACGAAATTTCGAACGTCTGTACTCTATGGTGATATTTTCAGCGGTCGTTTTATAACTGAATATTCGTAATACAAGTTTAATACACGTGTAATAGTGTACAAAAATGTTTGGAAATTTGTATAAACCTTTTGTGAATATGTTATTTGTTATACCATGTTCAAACGTTTTCTCTGCCAGGAAATGAAAAATGGAAGAATGAAAAGTGAGAGGAAAACTTCTTCGTCAGAGGTCTAAAATGAGAGCCAATGAAACTTCCTTTCGATGGATATACTTGTTTTTAAGAATAAGACGAGATGCGTACGGAATAATTGCACGAATCTAAAACCAGAAAAAAATAAAACATATTACAACGTAACTGTATTAAAAATTACACAACTTTTGTGTTAAACAATTTCTCATTAGGTATACAAGTTACTCTGTACGTCGATGTTCCTCCTCTGCAATATCGCTCAAACGATTAAACATCGCTGCTCAAACGAGCCACGCATCGTTTCGTGAGAGTAGCTCTCGCTAGAATCCATTAGGAACACGGTGAACTGATATAGATACACAATGGAAGACTTCAAAGACTGTAGTACGAAGAGAGGAGTGCAGATGGCTTCCGTGATCGTAGAACACCTGTCGTGTTCTTACACAACGGCGGAGATCACCGCGAGCCGGTATAAATGAACCAGGGACCGACGATTTCCCTCGTTGGCAGATGTTAACCGCGTTAAGACAGATGTTAACCAAGTTACCTCGAACGAAATGGCCCGATCGATCCGACTCGATATTTTCGTCATTTGCTAGGCAACCGTCAGCGCAGATAGGACTGATTTAGCCGGTTCAATTTTGAATATTCATTGATCGCGGTTGGTGTGACGGTGTGCACTGGAGACAATTGCATTTCCAAGTAGTAGCAACAACAGTCTAAATTATATACTATATTGGACGTTTTTGGAACACTAGGAATTTATCTTGATGAGGCAATAAGAGAACTTTACCCAATGTAAGACATTTGGAGAGAAGAGACCTAACCTAGACTTAAATATACGCATAATCTAATCTTAACGTAACTTGAATCTAAACCTAACCCAACTTATCATTTTGGATGGCACAGAGAACAGATGCCTGAATACACTACTTTTTGAGGCACTCTTGAGAAGATCTTTTTTCCCCTGAGTGACTCTGGAAACCCAACCCTAATCTAAATATAACTTAAACCTAACCTATCATTTTGGATGGCACAGAGTACAGAAGCCTACGTACATTCCTCCTTTTTGAGACACTCTTGAGAAGATTTTTTCCCTGAGTAACTCCGGACCACAAACCTAACCTAACCTAACCTAACTTAACCTTAAATATAACTTAAATATAACTAAAATCTAATCTATTTTTTTTTTTTTCGTAGAGGAGATCTTCAAACGACACTTGATTCCATTTAAGGGGAGGGGACCAGGTAGTGTCGGATTTCTAATGACTGAAACTTCCACGGTGACCATGCACATTGGGAAGCTCCTCAGAACCTAAAATCTTAAACCTAACCTCCTAAAAATTATCCAACTCATGACATATCCGAGTTACCCAGGTACGAAATAATTGATTATTACTATTACTATTAGATTCATTGAATAAACACTATATATTATAATTTTATCCAAGGTTTCGAGTAATATATGTTTTTGTGACAAATGATAAAACAAATTGTAATTTAGGTTCAGTAGAATGGTGGAGAACCTGAGGAAAAGAGAAAGATTAGCAAAACTTGCTAAAAAAATATATGTACTGGTAACATCTGCAGCTCTGAAGGAGTATTTTTCACAACTTCAAAAAAGCGGACGAATTTTAGAAAATATGGGACCTCCTTAATATTTCTCGACAAAAATTGAAGAATAATTATTAATTTAAGTACCTAATCTAAGGATAATTATTAATTTAAATGTCAATCTAATTTGGAACAATTACTTTATTGTTTTATCATTTATTGCTGAAACATAAATTACATTGTAGACATCCGAGTAGAAATAATATGTAGTCTCAATTACTTGATGGTAATTTTTGTTTACTTGGGCATCTCACAGAGTGTATTTCTAGTAGAGTAACATCTCTAGTAGAAAAATAATGGAGTTACACGCAACAATGACACTTTTTCAAACTTCTAACAATTGAACGGTTCTTACGGCACAAATTCAATACCTATTAACAAGAACTGTGAGATTTGTAATACATTCTTATCGCGCAAAGTCAATAGAGATATCCCTGTGACTCACCGTGTACACCAAATCACAACGCAATATTTTTCATTAAATTCTCGCGGATCGTATTGACAATATCGAATGATCGGAAAATGCAGAAAATATAAGAAACAATAATAAAAAAAAAAATCGTAGCGTCAGACCTGCACGCGAAACTATTTTAAAAGTATTTCGTTGATTTCCCAGGGGAGCACATCCGGTACGTCGCTTTCTTTCTTTCTTTTTTTGCCAGATGTGAAAGGGGAGAAAAAAAAAAAAAAAATAAGAAATGTAGAAGTTCTATACGTTGACGACAAGTATACACGAACCATGCATTAAATTACCCGTTTAAAGAACGAGATAGCTAATCGTTAACGCAACGAGATCACCATCTATCGGCAAACACCGCGCGGCAATTTGTTTGATAAGACGCACGAAGAAGAAACGCTTCCTGAGCGAAACATAGTTGCCAGAGAGGTGTGGAGACCGCTCAAGGCAAACAGAAACCGCGATAACAGGTTGAAGAAAATCACGGGCCCGATGACTGGTGAGCAACGAGGCAAACACGTTAGGGAGAAAAGTGAAACAATGTGGGTGTTTTGTCTACAAACACGTCTGGGCTTCGTCGGCTGGCGTAACAGCGTCTGAAACTTTCAGATTATTACCTCGCCTCGTGCGTACTCCTCCCCCGCTGGGAGTGAAATATTTTTAGAATCTTCTTTTCACAAGTACACAGCCAGAGCACAAGTGTGAAAGTGTCACAGAGCACTTGAACGTATTGTACTAGATTAGTTCGGAATTAATTTTTGAATTTTTCTCGCGAAAGTGTTCATACTGTTTTGCGAGAGGAATGTTCGCAATTTAATTTCAAGAGCTGGAATTCACGCTTTTGCTTTGAACAAAAAGCAAACAACAACATGTGCAAAAATATCTAATTCAGATTCTTGTGTTTAAGAATACTATTCGTCACTTTATTCACTGATTTTATACTTTTTTTTCTGTCTTATTTTCTGTGCTTCTTTAACTTCTTCTCAAGAATTTCAATGAAAAACCACGAAATTCGAAACTTTTTTGAGTTTCGAGGGACTGCAAGACGTTTCGAGTATTTATTGTTATATAAATATTTATATTTATATGAAATTTATGTATACTACGATATATAAATGTCATACTACAATTTTGTGAATTATTGTAAGATAGGCCAAAAATCACTTCACAGTAATTTTTTTTAACATTTGAAAGGATTTCTTGAAACATGATGAAAAAAAATCATGTTTGAACTTGAATTTAATTTAAAATTAATAAAATCACCTTTTTCCTATATATTGATGTTACATTAAAAAAAAAAAAAAAAAAATAAATGGGAAGAAAGTGGGCTTTTGGCCCACTCTGTACATACTAATAAGAATTATTAGTATATGGTTAAAAAACACAGATCAAGATAAGTAAACTAATTTAAAATTTCTTTCAGCCAAAAGAGAACTGAAGACGACAAAAATGATTAAACACACAGAAGACACTGAAATATCTAATCAACTTTCTAGATCGAACGCAATAAATTCACTTTGATCAAATCGATCAGTAAGAGATAATCATATCGGCGCCGTGTTTACTCAGTGCGGAACATTCGACAAACAAGCACACTTTAAATTAAATGGATTGAGTAATAGAATCATTGCGCACCGCTTAATAGGTTGAACATCTTCGTTGTTCCGTGAGATATGGGATGGAATTCGGAATTTCACACGATGTTATCTTCGATTGAACTTGGAAAACTGTTCCATAGAAGAATTATTGCCATTACTTTGTTCTTTAACAACTCTGTACTAAACTGAATACACGATTCTTACGTATTTCATAATTAGACTGCGGATGTTTGTGCAAATTTATATATATATACAGGATAACCCAAATTTTAGTATCCAAAATTTATCAGTGTGTTTTACAGATAAAAATAAGGCTAATAAGTAGATATTTCGTCAAGAAGTTAACAGCAAGAATATGAAACGTAAACGTGTCACCTTCGACACATTGGCTCAAGTAAAACTCGAATAAAAATAAATTTCATCTTGTAAATACATATGTATTTTTCGTGTATTTTATTTTCGATATTACACACGTATATCTGCATTTTCACCTTTGTCCATTTTTGCATCTTCGAACCCACAATTGCGCAAAAAAATCCGCAATCTAATAACGTTGCAAGTGGATGTTAACTACTTGCGCTGGCAACTGATTGCGGACCATAACGAGTGACCAAACCGTATACAAAAATTCGTCGCTTTCTTTTTAAACTCGTCGGTATGATATCACTGAGGATAGAAATTATCGAAGAGTAATAAATTTATTTCTTTTTTTTTTTTTGCCTTGGGTTATACTTAAATATACTTAAAACTGAGAAAATATTGCAATTTTGGGACAAAAAATTTCTCTGGTTCTAAAGTCGACGTGCATTCGAGCGCAAGAGGTTAATAAAACAACATTTAGCTGCCAAAGATCGTCGCGCTCGACAGAAGAATTAATTAGCCAGGAATTTGCGAAATTATCGTTCCACGACGCTGTTTTTATCCACATGAAAAGTAAACGCGGAGTATTCGCGATTCGCGTGATGCACGAGGGCGTCGAGAAATTTGCCCTGCCCGATTAACCCTCTCAGTCCCTCGTGTACGTATATGTATATATTCGTTCAAGTTGAGTCGTTTTTTTTTTTTTTTTTTTTATCAACGAGATACAGCTCGTCGAAGTATATACGTACTTGAACGTTGATGCTCGTAAATCGCGGTAACCGCGCAGCAATTACTATCGCCCCGTTTCGCATGGCCTAGATTTATGATGTCGCGGCTAAAACAGAGACAGAATTAACGTCCCCGTCGTGTGTTCGATTCACGTTGGATTGGATTCTTCGCGAAACAACGAATTCCAAACCGCCTCGTGCGTCCCCCATTGAAATCTCGTCTCCTTGCGCGAAACCAGCTGTAACCAGCATTTTCTCTGGTTCTGAAGTCGACGTTAATTCGGCTTTTCCTCTTAACCACTTGCGTTGGCAACTGATTGCGGACCGTAACGAGTGACTCAACCGTATACAATAATTCGTCGCTTTCTTTTCGACTGGATAGAAATTACCGAGAAGTAATAAACTTATTATTTGTTTTGTACGGGTTATACTTAAAATATACTTAAAACTGAGAAAATATTGCAATTTTGGAACAAAAAATTCTCGACGTCATATATAATATAAATATATATATATATTCAACGATTTATTACAATTATTTAAAAGCTTGTCGGATCCAGTTCCGCGGATGGAATGTAAATTACGACCTCAATAACGGAGGCTCGAAAACCGACAGGGATTTAAAATAAACCCGGAGCGAAGCCGATGGTCGTGCACTTGTACTTTTATTCGATAAAGAAACGCGCGGCCTCGCGACTTGTTACCAGAAACCGGCCGACTCGCCGTTAAAATAGATCAAAGCTCTTCCTCGCGAAACGCACCGCTATCGTACCATAAAACGCGCGCGTTAACGTTACCACGACGTTTTAAGCACTTGTATATTTCTCCGTTTAACCACACCGCGGCAGACAATAACCGAGAGCAATTGATTCGCTCATGCGATTCGTGGCGTTCCTGCGAAGAGATCTTGGAGCATCTACTTGCAGATAACGAAGCCTCTTGCGCTGGAATGACGTGTCGAGAATTTTTTGTCCCAAAATCGCAGTATATTTCTCAATTCTAAGTATATTTAAGTATAACCCAGGCAAATAATAAAACAAATAATAAATTTATTACTTTTCAATAATTTTTATCCGACGAGTTCAAAAAGAAAGTGATATTGGTTTGGTCACTCGTTATGGTCCGCAATCAGTTGTTTAAAGAAGTCTTTTAACCTCTTGCGCTGGAATGACGTGCCACGCATGTCGAGAATTTTTTGTCCCAAAATTGCAATATTTTCTCAGTCTTAAATATATTTAAGTATAACCCAGGCAAAACAAATAATAAATTTATTATTTATCAATAATTTCTATCCAGTGATATCATACCGACGAGTTCAAAAAGAAAGCGACAAATTATTGTATACGGTTCGGTCGCTCGTTATGGTCCGCAATCAGTTGCCAGCGCAAGTAGTTAAAATCTGATAATATAAAAGATAATACAAAATATAAATATAAATATAAATATAAATATAAAAGGTAAAATGTAAAAAATATAAATCTGGCAAAATAAAAAGTTTAAGCCAGCTTCTCAAGTTTCAGTTTCATCTCCAATGCATGCAACGAAACGATCCCCCTCTTCGTGTTTTTTCCCCTACTGCCATCTGAGAGAAATGGCACCTCTTTATAAATAAGTATGAATTAATCGCGAGCGCAAAACACGGAAGGAGCGAGTGACAAACGCACGCTCCCGGTATCTAATCAGTCCTCCGCATAATAATTTGCGTTCTGACGCTCGCATTCGCGTTTACCGATGACGGCTAAGCGATTACAGCGGCCTGGATTTTTTTCACCAACCGACAACCAACATCATGCCTATTTATCGAACTCTCGTTTTCGCGTCGAGCCTCTCAATGGCTCGGACAGCATTTTCCTTCGACGAATGCGGCGCAGCCACTTGGCACGTTGCGCTCAGAATACAATGCAACCACCGGCATAATGGGAAACTTGTTCTTCTCTTCAGAGAAAACAATGACGCCCTTGCCTCGTCCTTCGCTTAACTCTCGCGACACTTTGTAGGAACGTAGATGGACGCGACGTAACTTCCAATTTTCATTTCTGTTTCTCTTATGTTTACTGCAAAAATATCCTTTCACTTCTTATTTTGTTATGAAACTTGCTGCAAAATAATATGAACAAACGAGAAATTCGTAGCAATTAGTGCTACGAATTTGCAACTTAGCGTGGATCAATGAGGCATTAGGTGAAAATACTTATTTGTGGTATAAAATTTGATGTATGCCTGTCCAAAAGTTTCTTCCCTATTATTTTATTTTATTTTTTTTTTTTTTTAGTAAAACATCAAAATATAAGAAGAAACTAATTTTATTAATTTTAAATTTATTCTGGAAGCGATTTTTGGCCCACCTTGTACAATAATAATACAGGAAACATAAAAATTCGAAAGTTGGTGATTCCAGTGCTTGATTTGCACATTTAATGGTGAAATGTTATTAGAAAAACTGCAAAATAACCTTCTGCATATACTGGAATGTTATCACGTCATCAAAAAAAGAGAAAGCTTGTCTGCAAACC